AACTGTCTATTCACAAATTGCAGGCTTTGGCCTTTTCACACCTCCAAGTTTCTAGTTCTCTTCATCTGGCCACCTTTGTGTGCTGTGGCCAACAGCTTTCAAGCACCCAGGGGCAAGTGGTATTCACAAAGACAAGTCTTTTCTGTCCTAATTCAGAGATAGTAGGAAACCCTTCACCAAAGTCACCTATATCACACTTATTCTAGCCAATAGTATTACAGTTTTTTCCCCCACATATATCCTACGTCCCAGCTAACTAGATTATACCATGTTGATGAGATACTGGCTTAAATACATTTGTTTCTCATTAACACCTGGCAGTGAAGCAGGTACACAATAGCCTCTCCCAAAGGCTTTAACTGTCTGTTTTCATTACTACACATGTATATGAAAGTAGACTTTCTCTTGGTCCATAATTTTAGTTTACATCCAGCTTTTCATCAAACATGATAAAAAGTTTGGTTATTCTACTAATACCAGCAAATTTTATAAATTTGGGAAGAGTTGGCAAACTGAGGTATGTCCATTGAACAAGGACTTCCATGAATAAGACTGAAGAAGTCAGTTAACTGTATTTACATTTAAAGTATGCTAGTAGTACTAGATTCTGGGGAGACTGGCAAAATAGACCTAACCTATTCCAAAAATCATCTGAGGATTCTATGGTTTTATAGTATTTTGGCAAGAAAACTATGAATTTTATGTGATTATAAGTATACCTGCTAGTTGGTGTTTCAACATTGTTTTAGTAACATCTAGAAAGGTTCTGAGAAATCAGAAGACTATGGTTGCTGAACTGTAAGTGTGAGGATTTTTCCTTAGAGCACTCAGCAATTTACTCCTCCTGTCCTTGTTTTCATTCCTAGTACATGTGAAAAAGCCAATGGCTTCCCCTAGGAAGAGTATAATGGTTAGAAGCAGCAGCAAGCAGGAGGTGGGCCCAGGGATTCTAAATTTGGACTAGGTAATCTAATGCTGAACTATCTCTTAAGATCTAGAGATGTAGTATACACAGCAAGTCTTCCTCATTATTGCCTGGATTTTCTCACAACCATTAAGCAGTTTTTGGGCATTAGTCAAATAACTCTTGAAAGGTCTTAACTCTTTTATAGAGTCTGTATTAGAAAGCACGTGGCTCATCAGAAAGGAGGTAACTTCACCAGGCTTGGAACACTTATGGGTTCCTTTCTCTTACCATTCCCAAGATTTATTTTTGGATTGCACAGTATGTAAAAAGTAACTTTACTTCCAATGGTTAGATCTATAGATTGGCTTATAAAAAGCTTATCTGATCCATAATGTACTGGAAATTGTATTGTTTTCACCATACCTAATCACATAGCATTTTTGGGATAAAATACATTTATAGCATTAGATCAGTATGTAAAACACAAATATTTCTTCTTGCATACTCATCCTCTTCATAGTTGAGTGTGGATTATGCCAGCAAATAGGAAGATGGTGGGATGGGTATTTCTAGGTACTCATAATTTATTAACTGTCTGTAACTGTGCTTTCAAATACAATCACCATGAGCTACATGTGGCCATTCAAGTTAAATTAATTAAAATTAAAAAACTCAGTTTTTTAGTACTCCTAGTTACATTTTTAAAGTGATTCTATGCACATGTGGCTACTGTGGTCACTGTATTGGATAGCACATATATACAGCATTTCCATCATCATGGAAAGTGCTGTTCTGTGAGGTAACTCTGTACATTAATTACTAGCTAGGCATTTTCAAATGGGGGGAAGAGAGAAAAATAGTTCCTATTTGGATGTAGTGCCATTCTTTCTCCTTAAACTCAAATTTGTGAGTCCCTTATAAACTAAGACCCAGCTTCTTGTATCGGATATGACTTCTCCCTTCATGGAGTTTTTGGTCTGTCTGAAGAAACATACATGCAAATGAAAAGTTAATTAACAAATTAGGCAGTATATGATAAATGGTATGTTCTCAGGGAAACAATGGATTTAAGACAGAAAGGAAAAAGTGCTGTTTAAGCACTGAATGTAAGAGGCAGACGAAAAGGAGGTGGTGGAACAGGATGGCAGTGATGCTGGTGGATAGGAAGGAAGGAAGGGAGAAATAAATTCTCCCAATTCCAGGAAGCATAGGGAGAATTGATACACTCTTGCACAGCAAAGGATACTCTACTATATTAAAGGCTTGAGGATATCTCAACTCAACAACTGATAAGTCTAGACTAGGGTTATTATTTCTCTTTTTAACAACGTCATCAGTGACATCTGAGTTTGTTTTATAAATAAAGGAGGTAAAACATGAGGAAATGAAGGTAATGCCCAGATGAACTGAGAGGACAGCATTTAAGAATAATACTTGGTTCATTAGTTTTTGGACTGAGCTACCCCCATCTGTTCTGGTGACTTTTATCAGGTCAGAAGATAGGAGTGAAAAAAAAAAAGATATGAGTGTGGCTTTCTTCAGATTGTACAAGACAAAAAGATCTTTAGGAAATGTACATGACATTGGAAATCTGAGTGGATTTTAGATTTTTAAAATAAGAGACAACTTCTGCAATTGACAATGAAGTCAAGTAAAGGAGAGAGACTGCTAGGATCTCTCTCTTACCAAATATAAAGGAGCATATGTCTACTTTTCTGGTTATCAGCTGAATCCTGAAAATGCCAAGCAGGAGCAGGTTTGTTGTGCTATAAGGGTGTGCCAAAACATGGCCCATATATGCAAAAGTCAGAAAACAGGGGTTTTCAGGCTTCAAAATTTAATTATGCAAGACCAATTAAAGTTTCTCTTTTTCAGTGACCAAACCTAGAAAAGTGCTATGTGTGTCTCCTGTTCTCGTATCCCATGAATGAGGTTCTGATAGCTGTGGTAACAATCCCTAAAATTCTCCCCAGAACTCAATTTTTAAGAACCAGGAATATAGTTTATGTCTAGGAATATAGTTTATGTCTAGGGCTGGTGGAGTGGCTCAAGAGGTAGAGTGCCTGCCTAGAGAGCATTAGGCCTTGAGTTCAAATCCCAGTACTACAGAAACAAGGACAAAAGTTCAACTTTAGAATTTGTAAAAAAAAAAAAAAAAAAAAAAACAATCCTCGAATCTATACTAGACCAAGCCTATATAAGTTAAGTTTTAACATACAATGCTAAAACCCCAAAACTTCACTGGTGGAACAAAAGCATGAACTGTAAGGCATCTAGGATAACGTGATTATTTCAAAAAAGCCTCTTAGAGCCAGGCTAATGCCTGGAATCCTAGCTATTCAGGAGGCAGAGATCAGGAGGATCGCCAGCCTGGACAAATGGTTTACAAAAGGGCTGATGGAGTGTCTCAAGGTGTAGACCCTGAGTTGAAACCCCAGTATGGCAAAAAGAAAAAAAAAGAAAGATAATGAAATGTAGGCCACTATGTTGCTGCAAAGACTGTAAAGAAGATGTATAAAGATGGCTAGATTATAGCTATTATTTTGTTTTTTCGGTGGTACTGGAGTTTAAACTCAAGGCCTCACATTTGTTAGGTAGCTATTCTACCACTTGAGCCATACCCATGGCCCAGATTATGGCTATTCTTAATGTTTAACAAATTCATAATCGTTTGTTATTCTTCCACAGTGGTATTAAATTACTTTAATAGCTGTGAAAATACTTTGCTGTATTGACATTCTTCCTTTAACCACTTCTCTGTTGCTGGGCATTTGGGCTGTTTTCAGTGTGGCTTGGCATCTTTTTACATTTGTCCTCAAAAGACATAAACATGTAAAGGCCAAATAATTCATATTTTAGAATTCATACTCATTCATATTAGAATTTGTGGGACCATATAAGGCCTCTTGTTAGATATTCTCTTCCTTTTTTTTTTTCCCCCTCAAATGACACTTTCTCAAACATAAACACTATTAATCTGAGGGCTGTATTCAAAACAGGCTGCAGGCTAAAGTTGGCCTTTAACTAGCTGTTAAACTGGCCTAGCCTTTAATGGATAATTTCAACAAGTCTGTTTGGAAGTTCAATGTAAAGAAATTCTCAGTCGTGAAAGCTGGCAAGACCCTAGAGGTTGGCTGTCAATATCTAGAGCTAGATATGAAATGTTCTTTGGATTCCTCTGCTAATATTTTTCTTTCTCTAGAAAGGCATAATTTGAAGGTGGTGACACCATGTTGAATGACAATGGCCAATGCAGGTGGTAGTTTTTGATTAAGCTAATTCTTAGGCCAGACTCTGGATGAATATGGTTGTGAAGCACTGACCTATGAGAGCCCCCTAAATCTCACCAAATGCTACCTCTAGAAATGAGGTCAATTTGTAAATAATGGAGCAGTCTTCAGAACAGCTCTTGCATAGTTTTGTATGTGGTAATAAAAACTCTGCCTCCAATTTGGTTAGCAATGGCAGAATCCAATAATGCGTGGAAAGAGAATTTAAATTGCAACTTGTTTTTAACCTTTATTAGCTGTAGGCTCTCAGAGCAGTTAGATGTAACTCTGAGCCTCAGTTTCTACATCTGCCAAATGGAGCTTACTTACTTGAAATCTACCATTCAGCCCAGTTCCAGCACGAAGTAAGCCATGCAAAATGCGAAAAATGACAGTTACTTGCTCTAATGGTTGAATGCCATGCGGGTCAGTTTTGCGTTTACTTCAATGACCCTGCAGAGGGAAAAGGAGAGGTGGAATGCCAGGGCCTCTTAGGAAAGGAAGGTGCTGGTTCCGGGGTCTGGTCCAGCAGCACCGCCCATTCCTCCTGCTCCAGGGAGTCTCCTCCCCTCCAAAGCACCTCCGAGGCTGAGGCCACACCCCAGGACACCATGATACCTCGGGGGCGCTAGCGGTTCGGCTACTGGACCTGCCGGCCTGGGCAATCCAGGTTCGGCTGGAACTCACCTGCTGGGCAGGTGCTCCGGCTGAGGCGTGGCCGGGGAGGGGCGGGCACGGTGGGCGTGGACAGAGACTGTGAAGCTGCCGGCGCATGGCACCCGCCGCGCAGTCGCCGCGGTGGCTGCCGGGATGCGCCGTAGCGAATGGTCGCGCCGGGCGCCGCTCTGAGTGACCTTTCACCCGCGCCGAGCGGCCCGGGGCGGTGGCACAAGGCGGAAGCCATGGCGGAGGCGGCGGCTGCAACGGGCGGGATTGGCGCGAGCTTCGGCTCTGCCGCGGACTCAGACTCGGGCCAGGGTCGCGCGGGGCGGAGGCTGCGGGTTCTGTCGGGCCACTTGCTGGGCCGGCCCCAGGAGGCTGTTAGTGCCAATGAGTGCAAAGCGCGGAGAGCCGCGTCGGCGGCCACGGCGTCGCCCACTGCCACTCCTGCCGCGCCGGAGTCGGGCACCATCCCCAAGAAACGGTGAGTAGCGGTGAGGGAAAATCCCGCGGCGAGGGCCGGGTAGGGCCGGGCAGGGCCGGGCCTGTGCCGCGGGAGGACACAGGCGAAGTGGGAGGGAGTGGATACGCCTGGGTGGAGAGCATCCCGGCCCCTGAAGTACAGAACCACTTCCTTCGAGAGAGAGCGGGCGAGACCCCGGACCCCGTCAGCAAGTGGGCGGGATAGGCAGGGGAGACTCGGGTCACTCTCTGAAGGTGATAGACTTGAAGACTTCTTTTTGGGGAAGGGTTTAAAGGAATGCCTTTTCTTGGGTTTTCGATGACTGGGAATTCATTCTCTACCTTAAATGAATTCTTTGGGGCTAAGGTCATGGAATGGCTAGCCTAGCAGGGGGTTCTAGTATGCTCTTCCTCAGAGATTTAAGTTTGCACTCGATAATCGCAGGGATTTCTTCTAATTGGCGAAAGCCTGAGCGCGGGTGGGGTGGGGTGAGAGGGGAATTAGTAATGCCCTGGAAAAACTGGTTTCTGTGGGGTAGTTTCCCCTTCCTTAGGGGCATGGATTTTGACTTTGAGGGAGGAAACCGATGAGTGAGTAATAAACTGTAATACTAGTTAACGATTTAGAGTGTGATGTTACAGCTACTGACTCTGTAAGAAGCTTAACGAGGGTCCATGGATGAAGATCTTAACTTCGACTTTTGGGGGAAATCTTAATATCTGATGAAAGCTACTGGGAGAAGGTATTTTCTAAAATGTAGTTTCGTCAGCATGGATAAACCTTGAGAGTGAAAAAAGATGTTCCTAGTGTTCATGTGTACTTTCAGAGTACCAAAGATCATGCTAAATCCATTATTTCTTGTATTCCTTCTGAAGCTGTGACGTACGTGCAATTTCCATTTTACAGATGGAAATTTAAAAAAAAAGATTAAGCAATCTGCAGGTTTAGCAGGTGTGCTTTGTGGCAGGTTAGAATTCAAAGGCATATCAAATTGACTTCAGTGTCAAATTTTTATTATTACTATTTTTTTGAGACAGGGTCTTACTATGTAGCTGAGGTTGGCTTTGAGCTGGAGATCCTCCTGTCTCTGCCTCTCCAGTGCTGGATTACAGGCATTAGTGCCAAGTTTTTAAACCATACTGCTTCTGATGGACATAGACCTTGGTTTGAATTCCATTAGGCAGTTTCACCTGCATGACTTTGGGCAAGTCTCTCTCAGAGCTTCTGTCCTCTCGCTTTAAGAAATGGGTATAATAATTGCTGCTTTGCCTTGTTTCAGTGAGAATGGAAAAATGTAGTTAAATGATCAAGTTCTCAGGCTGGTGTAGTGGCTCTAGCAGTACAGCACCTGCCTACCAAGTGTGAGGCCCTGAGTTCAAACCCCAATACCACTTAAAAAAAATAAGTAAGAAATGCTTAGAAATGCTTGAGAGATAAAATATTTAAAAAAAAAAGTTCTCAGTGTTTTGCCTGTTACGTAATCTCATAACGAATAGTAGCTGCAATTTTCATTGTGTCCAAAGACAGAGAAACCAGTTAGGAATCTGTGTCCCAGTGAAGAATGCTGGGATTCTGAACAATAGCATGCTGTTGGGAATAGGCAACCTATTTGAGAAAAAACATTAGGAGGTATATTTTCCAGAATTTGGTTACTTAGGGGTGGGAGTGGAAGAAGTCAAGGATCAGGTCTCATTCTCTGGCTGCCCTGATGTTACGTGAACTGTAAGCCTTTACTTCTTAAAAATGGCTTCATATATATTCATGTCTACTCATTTGTATACACCTATGTGTGATTTAACATTTATATGTAGGTTCACAGTAGTAGAACAAAGTAGGGAAGGTAGGCTTTCCTTATGATTAGATTTAGTAACCTTTGTCTACAGCATTTAGAGAAAAAAATAGGAATGCTTGTATTGGGGTAAGGGATGAGGCTTCTTATGGCTGAAGGTGACTGCTCTAGGTTTCCTGTGTGGCTGCCAAGGACTGAAGCATCACTAGACTAAACATGACCGTAGCCCACTTCTGGCCTAGGTTATAGTTGGTGGGAAGCTCTGGTTTTTGGTTCAGGTTTGGATGGCTAATGGTAAAATCCAGTCCTATATAAATAACTTAGAAGTTTAATAGAAATGCTGATATTTTGACTAAACACAAAGCACAATACTAATTTGTGTTAAGTGAAACACAAAATTCTTCAATAAATGAAACTTAAAATACTTCCTTAGAGATTGATCAATTTGATAGATTATTCATGGGAAACTTAGGTGTGCCTTTTACTACTTACTGCTCAGATGGGCCTTGGGATGCCAGTAATAGAACTGAGCCTAAAGGAAAGGCAAATATGGAGCAAATAAGGTGGATTTATATCCATAAAGTTGATGATTTTGGAATCATTTGGTGGCTTTTTCTCTTCCATTATTCTGGATGTTGGTGTTGGTTGTCATTGTTTTATCCCATGGCTCATTATATTTAAATTTATCATGGACTTGGAGAAGTGACTTTTTGACACTTCATACTTTTCCTTTCTCTTACAGAATAGTCATCATGCATTAATTTAGTGAATATTTACAGAGTAGTTGCTTTATGACAGGGACTGCCCTAGGTACTGAAAAGGAGATGAATCCTCAATCTAGGAAGGGAGATACATGTTTTTTCAGTAGTTGAATTAGCGCCACTGTAGGTAAAGGTACAGATGTAGCACAAAGGAAAGGGTAATCTACTTTATCTGTAGAGTCAGGGGAAGCTTTCTGGAGAAGGTTTTAAAATAATTGGTGATAGTTTGGCAGGTTAATTGGGGATGGTGAGGAGATTTTATATGCCAGGCCAAGGAAATAGCATATGGGTATTTGGAAGGAAGAGCGTGTGAAAGTGCTTGTTGTGTTTGGGTGACTAGACAATTCAGTGTTGGTAAAGGCGGGAGTAAAGTGAAAAGAGGAGGGCGGTATTAGGTTATGGAAGTGTTTGACCTATAGTAAGTACATCAGTCCATTCATTCATTCACTCATTCATGCAAATAACATATAGCAGTGAACAAAAACTGCCCTTATTGAGCTTACATTGCTAGTTGGAGTGGAGACAGTGGACAAATAATATAGCCTGTCAGATAGTGATAAATATGAGAAAAATGAAACAGCTGAGGAGTCTGGTTAATGTAGAACTCTTGAAGGAATGAAGCTAGCTAGAGACATGGGTTTGGGTTTGGGAGAACTCACACAGCTGCAGTGTTAAAAATGGATAGGAGAAGGGTGAAGATGGCCATGAGGAAATCAGGTAGGGGAGTATGTAATATAATAATAGATGAGAAATAATGAAAAGGATTAAACCAAGGCAATGGCAGTGAGAACGGGAAGAGGAAAGGATGGGGTGAAGGGCATTGGACAAAAGTGTGTTAGGTGATACTTTACAATTATGTGACTAAATTAATTCCATGGGAGTCTAGAGACTGATCAAAAATAAGAAAGAGATGAGAGAATCCTGAGGAATGTGAACAGTTAAAAGGGCTGATCAACCAAAACCTGTTACATACTTTTCCTGTGAGTTGGTCCCAATTACTTCTAGTAAGGAAAGTATGTTTCATTATTTGAAGTTGCTGAGTAGAGTTTTGAGGGTGACAGTTACTTTTGGACCTCTTTTTTCTTTTTTCATTAAGTGTGTATTATTCTATATACAGTTTTTATTTTGTTTTTGCTTCTGAATGCAATTAAAAATCGCAATAAATGTCAACAACGTATGCCACATTTTTATGCCTTGATTGTGTTTTTTCCTTCAATTTTTTTCCAAGTTATTATAGTGTTATAAAAAAGAGAAGTAGAAATTGCTAGTTGACTTGCATCCCTCCACATTGTTAACCACTTTCCCTCTTCTAACTTTAGTTACAACCTCATTGTGGTCTGCGTTAGTCAGAGCTGCTCTATGGTAGTTCTTACTGAGGTTATAAACGCCTATGGTTCAGAACACCACTAATTAATTTACTTGCTTATAATGTCCTTTACATGAACCATTCTTTAAAAAATACATTTTTTAGCATCTACCACAGCTTTGGCGGATGTTTTCTAGCAGGAAAAGAGCTGAGTTAACCTCTTGTGTTTCCCAGGATGGCATCCTGAAGCCCATAAAAGCCTATGCATTTCTGCAGCAAAGGTTATTTACAAGTGATTTATGACTTAAATCATTTAGTAAAAGTAGAGCCTATTTTGGTAGTTATACTGAATGAAATAGTTAGTATACTATGAGTTCCTAGCTAGGGGTTAATAGGAATTTTAAATAAGTCAATGTGTTAGGAACCATTCTAAAGCTTATTTGTATTATCTCATTTGATTCTCACAACAGCTCTGAAATGTAAGTGGTAGTGTATACAAATTATAGGTGAGGAAGTAAAGGCTCAGAAAAGTTAATTTCTCTTAGGTCTTATAACTGTGAAATGAAAGAGATGTCATTTCAGCTCTGGTCTCCAGAGCCTTTATTCCTTTCTCTATGCTGTAGTGCCACACTTGATATTGTTTCCTGGGGAAAAAAATTATCTACTTAATATTCATCAAGTTTCTATCTATAAATTTCAGACTTTTTGTGATTAAGGAGATCATAACCAAATACTGTCATAATAGCGAAGGCATTAGTTTATGTTGCATTTATTGATAAATTATAAAATATGAGTCTGTGAAATTAAATTCAGAATTTAAGAAAGTATAATGTATAGCTTAAAAAGATAGGCGAACTGTTTCCTTCCATGAGTGAATTTGGTGGTACTGGTTTTGAACTCAGGACCTTGAGCTTGCCAGGCAGGTGCTCTACAACTTGAGCCATGCCTCTTTTTTATTTGTGAATTTTGTTATTTGGCTTGTGTTGGGAATAAAAGAGAACAAAGAAAGGGAATGTGAGGACCCAAGATCAGAGGATAGAGGAGGAGAAATAGTCATGAGGGTCTCTGTCTGGCTGTAGGCTACCTCTTGTCTTTGAACTGTGATGTGTAAGAAACCTTGAAAACTTAATCTCCATGGTTATTGAGTTTCATACTTCTCTAGAAG